AACTGAATTATGTCGAAAAGCAAAAAAGACTCCAGAAAGTCAGCATAAAGTGATTTTTTTGAATTTCGTAGCATATTCTATCGGAAAATAAAAAATTCAGTTTAGGTACCAAACGCGTATCCCAGAAGAACAAGAGAAAAAAGACGATGTGTTGGAGGATGCTGAATTGGGCGATGAGGCTACCGATTCACAGCGGCACCACAAACTGCCTCCGGTCAGCGAATGCGGGAGTGCGCAACGTTCAGAATCAACATCGACTAGCGAACTCACTTCCGGGGCGCCACGTTAAAATGCTCTGCCGAAAGTTACAGTATTACTTAGATGAATTGTTTGAATTTCCCACCGAATTTTCTTTTTTTGCTAATTTTATTGAATAACCAATTAATTAATCAATTAACGGGATGGATGATTCGGTGTAGCACGACGCATGATACATAGGTTATTCTGGAGTGATTTCTTTGCAGCAAGCGGAATCGCGCAGAATCCAACATTTTCGACTTTCCTTCTTTTTTTTGTACATATCCTGTAAAATTGGGTCCCATCGCTGCAAGGAAATACATGTGGTGCATGGATGTTTGTTGCTATAATTGTTAGCATTGATATTTTCCAGTTTTCTAATATCTTTTCTTGCCCAAACACTAATGCGAGTTAACTTGAAAATGTTATTTTCCCGGGGAAAATTTAAATTTAAAACCAGAACGACAAAAGCGCTGTCAGCACAATCTTCCCAATTAGCGCACAGTTTCCAATCACTAATATTTATGAAATATCGCTGGAAGTCTTGATAATGTGGATTCTTTCTCTCTGCATACTGTGGATACTCTCTCCTGACCTCTGTTACGGTGCTTTTGTCGTAGTGCGGAGGCTTGTACATTTTTTCCACTCGTTGCGGGCACTTGCTCAAAGCTACTTCATTGCCTTAGTCTTTCCAAGAATCCGAAATATACTTCTTTTAAAAAAGCTTTTTTTTTGACTTTTTCTCTACGAATGATTCATTTTTGGTTGAAATGAAGATGCCAGTTCTGCTAAGACATACCATTTTGCAAAAAAAAAGCGAAAAGTTGAAATCTTTTCCACAAAAACGGTCTGGTATTTGCTACAGAGGCGAGTTAGAAGGAATACTTATTTTGCATCTGCTCTAACAACAATGGTTCTTTAAACGACGTGGTCGGAGACTTAAGTAGATGCTTGTCCAAAATGTATGCCAGGATCTCTCTGGCGCGCCATACAGGAGACGTTTGGATTTACTCGGCTTACTTCTCACGAGGAATCTGGATTTGCTTGGCGTGCTTTTAAGCACGCTGCACTGGCATTGTTGTTATTTATCCTAGTGTTATTTAAATGTTTATTATTATTGCTGCGTTAGTTGAGTGCTTTAAAATAAAACAGATATTGATTGTTATTATTGCGGTATCTCGGTGCTTTTTAATTATCTCACATCAATTTAACTTGTGTGCTATAGCTACTTGGCAAATACTCGGCTGGATGGTGGCTTTCGTTTTTGCTCATCTTTTATCACGCAAGGAATTCTTGAAAAACTTCGATTTTCAGTGTCCGATGGGCTACACTTTTTCCGTCCTACTCTCCAGCCTCTCACTGCTCCCCGGATTTTCGGATATCTGTTTTTAACAAATCTTCCCCCTGTCGATACCAGCGGGATTGTAGTGATTTTTTATCCCCTATCTTTTGTGTACTGTAAACATGGAAATCAGAAAATGCTAAGCACATTCACTACTCATCAAATTTGTTCTCTTTCTTGTTGATATTTTGAAAGTATTCATGATGTGTTATGGATAGGTGAATTGATGAAATGAGACAATGTGTTATAAGCAACCAAAGACTATGCGTGCATTGCAAAGAATTCATGGATAATAATGTCATTTACGGGCATAATCGTACGTGTGCAAATTCAATCGCAGCAGCTACTGGCGGATAGTTTGGCTCAGATGGTAGTTGTTTTACTGTACAAAAGTGTGTTCGGTACTGCCTGTCCACCCCCTTCCAAGCAGATCGCCCTGGATTCGCCTATGAATTCAGCATCATCCGAGCTGAGTAATTCGGAGGGATTTGACATTTTGCCAACATAACCAGCGTAGTCCGATGCGCCGTTGAAAAAAAAAATACTCCAGGTGGTCGATCCCAAAAGCACAGCTCCTTCCTACTGAGCCCTAGCAGGACATCTGTAATCTTAGAATGTAGCCACTTTGCTGTACAGCTTTTAACGACATTAAATCTCCGACCCCCCTCCTAAACGGGCTTCATCGACTTCAGAATCCTTTCTCAGAATACTTTTCCTGCCTGCTTAGTTCCCAAACCTCTTACCAGTTCGTGCTGTGGTACTTGCGAAAAATATGTAGGTGGCTATCGCTTTCTCTGTGGAATATTAGTAGTGAATTTTCTGTGGAATATTAGTAGTGATCAGCGAGGAAAATACATGTTTATTAAAGGTCAAAAGAAAATATAGAAGAAGGAAACAATGAAAGGAAAAGGATATTAAGAAAGGTAAGGGGTATATGAAAAAATTTTGTTATAGTTTTATCATAGGTAAGAAATGTTTCGGTCCATTAAGTCGTATACATTTC